CCCTGTTCCCCTGCTTCTCGCTAATGTTCTCTTCCTTGGACAGTTTTCTCCTTCAGACAGTTCATAAGGTGTAGGGATGCCTAGGTTTTATTTTTTGTCTGCTGTGGCTTTATATCGACCCCATGTAATCTAACATTCTTTTGACATCAGGAATTCTCTTTTGGGACTTCTGCCCACACGTTCCTGTCACTTCTCTCCTACCACTAAACAATAATTCTGACTTGCAATCTTTTAGGTGCAACTTCTACAGCTTTGTGTAGAAGTTGTTCCCTTGAGCCACAGGTCTTTGTGCCTTTGAGGTCTCCCTTTTTTTAAATTTTATTTTATTTTTAAATACCAGTTTTAAGTCAGTACAGCTGGATCCCTGCAGCTCACCACATCCAGGCTCATCATGGGTGTCAAACTAAAAGCTTTTCAAAGGAAGCTGTTGTAGGTGCCTGGGTTGCCTTTCTAGCAATGAAGTTGAGCTTCCCACTCATCTCTCCTGTACTTCCCTTTGCTGTTAGTTTCTCTCTTGGCCACGAGTTTTGTCTCAGTGACTGGTAGCAGCCTGTTCAGCTTTTTGCAGGATTTCCCAGTCTGGTGGTGCACAGGGAAGTCTGCAGCTGCTGATACTGGAGTCTCTTGCTGTTCCTGCTGCCCGCACCACCACACAGGGTAGCTGAGGTGGCCCCCAGGAACAGTCTGGCTCTTTTGCCAGCTGAATTGCCTTCTTTGGCCACTGATTACCTCCTGTTCTTTCATGAGACCTGCCGACCTTGAAACCAGTGCTATGGAAAAGGGCAGTCACGGGCTGTAGCTGGAAATGGCTGGGTAACTGGGAATGGTTAGTTTTCCTTCTTTGGATCTGGTTGTCCAAGTTGACAGCTTTGGCCTCAGTATGCTGTACTGGGATCTTGAAGGTCCTAGGCTAAGGTCTCTTGGTGCTGTGTGGGCCCACTATAGGTAGTAGCTGTTTGTCCTGCTCTCTGCCTGCTTTTCTGGACAGCTTCTGAACCGTCTCCCACCCCATCCCTTGCGAGCTAACACCGCTCACCCCCAGCAAAGCTGTTTTCAGGAAAGGCAACGCTGTACTTAGAGTGCTAGCTGGGACCTCAAAGTCTGCAACTCTGGGTGTGCATAGATTCCACCTGTGGCTGTACAGTGCACATAGGATATTGACCTGCCTCGAGGGTTCATCAGCGAGCTGGAGTATGGAGGCTTCAGCTGGGAGGCCAAGGGCAGCCCAGCAGAGCCAAGCTGTGTGGCTGGGCAGTCACAACCTGTAGTAGGGTGCTCCATTGCTCAATGCCTGCTCATGTGTGTGCCTGCTTCAGCCTTGCAGGTGTGTGGGTGACCCCAGGCAGCTGTGGTCCCCTTGGCACCACAGCGAGGGTTTGGGGGTGGCGAGCACTCATGGGTCTCACTGGCTTTTTGAGGAAGAAGGGGAACAGAGGACGTGCAGAACTGAATGTTGTGAGCACGGCTGGGACCCAAGATGCACTCATAGGGTCAGCCCTGGTGTGAAAAAAGACAGGGACCCAAAAATAACAGGGGGGATGGAGAGGAAAGACACAAAAGGAGAAGCAGAAGTGTGTGCAAAGCAGCTTGGGGCTGGGGAGTCGATGGCTCAGAGCGCTTCCTGTTGCCTGGCCGCGCAGGGGCTCGCGCCCGCCTGTGCCCAGCAGCACTGCGTGGAGGGCCAGAAATCAAGGCACGCACCCAGAAACAGGCAGATGGAGAGGGTCTGGATGGACTGACGGTAGACACCTGGGGAGATACATGGCCAGCTCCCAAGAGGCGCAGGAAGAGCTCGGCGTTGGGTGCTCCAGCACAGACCTCCGACTTCCCTTTTCTCACCAGCGCACACTGATTTTTCCTCTGTGTTTTCTGAGCTGCTTTGGTGGTAGCCACTTGGCCCCTTCTTCTTTCGCCCTCCACGATGGTGAGGTAAGAGAGGCTGAGAAGTGTGTGTGTATAGGGAGGGGGACCAGGGAAGTAGGACAGATCAGAGGGAGGATTGTCCTGGAAGCCATATCTCAATGGAAACCTTTCATAGGCTGTGGGAGGTATCAGGTAGGAAGGGCTGCTGCTGCTGGCTGTCACCTCCATGGGTATCTCTACAGGTGCTGAGGGGAGACCATTCTTCATGGTACAAGTCTGCACAATAGTGCCTGGCCTTTTTTATTCACTTGGTCTTGTTTTTATCTCCCCTGCTAGGTGGTTTCACCGTGACCTGAGTGGGCTGGAAGCTGAAGCCTTACTGAAGGGACGAGGTGTCCATGGGAGCTTTCTGGCCAGACCCAGTCGGAAGAATCAGGGGGATTTTTCTCTTTCAGTTCGGTAGGTAACTTGGACCCCAACTGCTGTCTTTCCAGGCTTACGTACGCAGAATGCTTAGATCCTCACATGTCCTGTGGCATCTTCTTCACCCTGTCCTTATTCCTTTGAGTTCTTTCCAAGCTGTAAAAGGCCATGAGCTTTCCAGCATCTTCTAGACCTTCCCTCAAGTTGCCCTAGGAGCTTCTCTTTCCAGTCATCTCCTTTCACTGGGATGGTTTGCTCTGGTTCCATGGCAGGAGGTAATGCAGAACATTTTCTGCCTGTTTTCCAACTGCTTCACTAGACTTCTCTGTGCTTTGTCCCACAGGGTGGGTGACCAGGTAACCCACATCCGCATCCAGAATACTGGGGATTTCTATGACCTTTATGGAGGGGAGAAGTTTGCCACCTTGTCAGAACTGGTGGAGTACTACACACAGCAACAAGGCTCGCTGCAGGACAAAGATGGAACCATCATCGACTTGCGATACCCGCTCAACTGTTCTGACCCCACTACAGAGAGGTATGGAGAAAGCAAAGCAGCTGGTGTGTCTGTGATGAGACCTCTTCTGTGTTTTATTGGCGTTCTTTTTGCCCTGCCTGCATTCCTGGGGCAAACCCTACAAAAAGTGTTTCCAGCCTCCTGTACCCTCCTATGCTTCTGGAGGGGCAACATCCCCAAGAGTAGCTGGACATGCTTTGACCCATCACAGCAGACCTCATAGGGCTCTATTTTTACTACTGGTTTCCTGTTGCCTTTGCTATTTATATAGTGTCCCTAAAAGTGTTAGTTATGGGTCTGCAGCACTCTGAAAATTGACATGTTATGTGAAAGCCCTCAGCCTTGCCCCAGACCTCCTTGGTTAATCCAGGCCTGGGCGACTCACGTAGCTGAGAGCAGGACCATGTTCCCCTGCTATTCCGAGCCTGCTTAGTCTCCTTCCTGTCCCCGCTTTGCATACGCTTCTGACACCAAGTTCCTAAATCAAATGAGGTGGTTTTGCCCTTGCGTTGTGCTTTCAGGCTCTGTGATGCAGCTCGGGGAGCAGTTGCTACGCTCTGGGGCGGACAGGTCCTCCTTGCACACCTGGAGACAGGGAGCAGAGATGCCCCGGGGGAAGTGCCAGGGAGGTCCCTGCATACTCTGCAGTCAGGCTGCAGGGGGGCTGGCGTCCCCATGCCGGCTGTCCTCTCCACTCAGGGCCGTTGGGTTGTGGCCCTGCAGTTTCCTCCCTTCCTCCCTGCGGTTGGAAACTTCTCCCCCCTCAGGCTCTTACGAAAGCTCCTCTCACTCTCTCCCCAAGTGATTTTCCATCACGTGGCTTTGAAGAGCTGGGCTCTACTGGGGGAAGGGAGGGGAGAAACAGGACCCATTAACCTCTTCATACCTGTGGAGCGGAGGCCCATAGACCTCT